CAAAGTACAGATCAGTCATCAATAATACCAAACGTACAGATCAGTCATCAATAAGACCTAATGTACAGATCAGTCATCAATAACACCTAACGTACATATCAGTCACCAATAGCACATAACGTAAAGACCAGTCATAAATAACACCTAACGCACAGATCAGTCATCCATAACACCTAACGTACAGACCAGTCATCAATAACACCTTATGTGCAGATCAGTTATCAATAACACCTAACATACAGATCAGTTAACAATAACACATCTCGTACATATCAGTCATCAATAACACCTAATGTACAGATCAGTCTTCAATAAAACCTAACGTACAGATCAGTCATCAATAACCGCTTACGTACAGATCAGTTATTAATAACACCAAACGTACAGATCAGTCATCGATAACACCTTTCGTAAATATCAGTTATCAATAACACCTAACAAACAGATCAGTCATCAATAACACCTAACGTACAGATCAGTCATCAATGGCACCTAACATACAGATCAGTCATCAATAACACCTTACGTACAGATCAGTCATCAATAACACTTAACGTACAGATCAATCATCAATAACACCCAAAGTATAGATCAGTTATAAATTACACCTAACGTACAGATCAGTCATCGATAACACATTGCGTACAGATAACTCATCAATAAAACCTAACGTACAGATCAGTCATCAATAAGACTTAATGTACAGATCAGTCATCAATAACACCTAACGTACAGATCAGTCACCAATAGCACATAACGTACAGATCAGTCATAAATAACACCTAACGCACAGATCAGTCATCCATAACACCTAACGTACAGATCAGTCATCAATAAGACCTAATGTACATATCAGTCATCAATAACACCTAACGTACATATCTGTTATCACTAACACCTAACGTACATATCAATCACCAATAACACCTAACGTACAGGGTTTTTTTAAGGGGATATATTCAACGTATTGGGTTGACGGATAAAACAAATTTCTGTTCCCTGAATAAAGCATTTTCTAGCAGAAATATCGTATATAAACAATTGTATGTCCATAAATTTAAACCCGCAATCATTTCTAAAGCACATCCAAACTGTCATTTGCTAAAATTGTCCAGAGTGATATCTACAAGTTCGAACACCAAGGCGAGGAGTGATGTCAGTGAAAGCTCTGCCTGTTTCTTATATGACTTGCTTGGTCATTTGATAAAGAAGTTATAAGATCAAATTAAAGTTCATTTGTTACCAGAATTTTTACAGCTCATCAGTTGTGCATATATACAGTGCAACATAAGTAAACAATTAAACAACAACAACAATAACACATACACACTACTTTCGTACCTTCTCCTAGAAGTGAAGGGCGATATTGTGCACTGCTAAGAAACAATGTCCTGGATAATAAAATAGCATTTGATGATAGGGACATATTGATATATTACTGACAAGCACTAGATATAAATGACCTTATTCATAGTCATACATTGTTTGCTTAATTAGCTATTTATTTATTTATTAATCTGTGGACAACAATTTATGCAAAAAGGTTTAATAAATGAATTGTGTGAATTGGGATAAAATCGACATTTGAGATTCAACGTTTAAGACACATACTGAACAAAACCCGTCTCTGTCTTCAATAGACATTTCTTCAAAGCATGCCTGTAGAATACAATTATCTGTAATACGTAATTTTATCCAAAATTTCAACATTCCTAACGTACGACTAATTCCCATTAGATATGTTCTCCATTCAAAATACATCATATACTTTGGAGTAGTTTATAGAAACTGCCGATGAAATCTGTCCAGTTATAGGACTTAAATACGCGATTGATAGCGGCTATCTCTCTGAAATCAGACAAAAGGCGGGGATAAAGTATTGTGATGAGAACCTTTTTACAATGAGTGAATAAAGCAGGCGTATCTAACGTACCGGTAAATCATTAACAACACTAACGGTGAATGAAAACATGTTTGTTGCTTGTAAATTTTCGTACAACGCAGTAAGTGAAATGGTTATGGGCTAACAATAGGTTTTGCACCTTTTTCAAAAACGTCCGAGAGACTATGGGCCCCCTTATTTTCCTTAAGAACCGCATCGCATCCTTATGGCATCACCTATTTCTGCTTTAACATGTTGCTCTCTCTGTCCACAACAACGGAATCGTCACAGCAAATACCTACGGTGTTAAATATCACGGTTGGTCCGGTACTCACGAGCTTGTTTCAAATATCATGACTCATATGCTAGATGTTGACTGCTGGCGGACAAACTGTAAACACAGGGTTTCCTAAGATGCAGGTTGATGAAGACTTTTGCGAAAGTTTATGGGCGTCATCATTATCCTGCAGGTAAATGTGTTTTTTTCTTCTGGACATAAGGATATGTTGGTATGATTGTCTCCCTCTGATATCCTCCCGCCCGGTCAAATTAAACTGACAACGGGAAACCCAGATGTTGCCACTTCCCTAATTGCTGAATGTTAAGCATGGAGTAGCAAGTACCATTTTAAAGACTTTGACATGTCCGTACAAAGGGACATAACCCACTGCCTTCCTCACCTAGGCTCCAATGTTCAACATCAAAGCAGAAAGGGAAATATGGTCAAGAAAGGAACTAAGAACTAACGAAAATGCATTTGGAAGTACAGAGAAATACAAAGATCCAAAATATTGAATGGGGTGGAGGTTTATTTTGGTCAATTTTGTGTCCCCAATTAGATGGCACTAACGCAACTATCCAATTCTCAAGGGGCTCCTTTATTAGCCGCCTCTTACGATAATGCAGTGGGGAACAACAGGTGTAAGCATTTCCCAATGGTACATAAGACCTTACATGCAACCATTAAATTCACATCATTCCAATGGTTTAACGCCCCATAAATTTGAAAACCAAGGTGAAAGTAGTAGTCGATACATATTTAACCAGAGAAATGAGTGAACACAGTATTTTACATACTTTATTTAAATTAAAATTTATTTTTTATCTTTATCACGAACTGTTCTCATTAGAAATAGAAATAAATACTATATTATCGTGTATGGAATTTGAACTCATTAGCTTTAACCTATCTTTTTGACAGGATATCGATATCCACCTTCACTTTAGTGAGACGAATATCGGCCTCGCTTGTATTCCCGATATCAGGGGTAACAATAGTCAGACTGATCAGAAATGTGTTCTGTCGGTCAGGCATTACTTGGCCCTATTATTAATAGCCGTTTTAGACTCGCCGATGTTAATGTCGCAAGTGGATGTTGTTTCATGTGAACCTACAGCTGCTTGGAAGAAGTCAAGTATCAACTTGTTTTTCGAAGATGATGCGGGTTTTTCGTTGGCTTTGCAGCCATGTTTCCGATGTTGACAACTTTAAAAATACTAATAATAAAATCGGCACTAGGTGCCCTAGGTTGGAAAATCTCACCTATCAGACGATGTATAAAGGAAAACCTGATGATCACGCTGACTACCGCAGGGATCGTCCTCGGGTTTGCTTTAGGATTTGGTATCCGGGAGGCAAAACTATCTCCCGAAGTTCTGACATGGATAGGTAGGTGGTTGGCGTTAAGTATGCAAGCACGACAGAACTATACAGTACCAGATCTCAGATGTTAATAGACTAATGGTTGTTATCATATTGCTTAAAATTCCGCATGGTATATATTTTGCTAAAAGTTCATTTCAGTGAATGTAAAATATTAAACTTATCTTTTCTGATAAAACTAGGAGTGATTTATCCGTTCGATTGTTTATGACTTACATAATTATAAAAATAAAACGAAAATAAAAACATTGTATGGAAAATGAAAGCAAATGAATTCAGTGCAAGCACGTTTGGTAATACATTTCAAAGTGCTACAAAAATAGTTATATATAAAAGTGATTTGAAATAACGATTTTACTAACTTACTTAAAGAGAACAGATCTTGCTCGTGGCCCCGTGTCTTTTAATACTGATCGATAGATTACAAGGTTTCTACTTGAACGGCAATCTTTTCTCCTGAAAAATTAGTTTGAAAGGAAATGTCTGAATGGAGAAACCAAATGACTTTGTATTATTATTCTTAACCACTTTTAGGGGTGGTCGGGTGGTACAGTGGATAGCGCACTTGCCTTTCACCAAGGCGGCCGGGGTTCGATTCCCTGGTCGGACGTGAAAAGGTATGGGGTCACCTGCCCGAACACGTTGGTTTTTTATCCGGGTACTCCGGTTTCCTCCCACACAAAGACCCCCCGCGCGCCAACAAGAGTGATTAATATACGTTGAATAACTTGTTTCATATTTGTTGTAAAATAAATAAAATAAAATAAATAAAATTCATATATTATTATTCGTTTTGTCAAAACTGGCTGGGCGGTCGGAACAGACCAGAAAAATAAGATTAGGGAACAATATTCTATGGGAATGTATATATCAATGACGAGAAAATGACAAAAAATTCTGAAAACGTTTTAGTTTAGCGCTCTCTGATTTAAAGCCCATTATCGAATTGTTACAGATATATGCTTTTGATGAATGAGCTCACCCCAAACCTGATATGGAGAACAATATAAAGTAGCCTAAGTAAACTGACGCAATCATAATTAAACGCAATACGTGTAGCGTTTATAAAATTCATTGAAAAGAGCATATCTTTTCGTTGAAATGATGAGTCACACACGGCCACAAGCTTAAATAGGAAAAACGACGAGAGAATGTTTAATAAGTGTGTTGCACCTGCATGGCTTTTTGGAAGATAATACATTTTAACACACGTACTAAGATCCGATAGTATATAGTTATCAACACTCATTAAGTGTCGTCACATCAGGATGGAGAGGATACAGAATAAAAGGTATATAGTGAAGTAACATGAAAATTTAATTACATTGAAGTATTATCAAACCAAAAATTTATATTGAGCATTCCTTTGTTTCCGATATTTGTTCTAAAATTACAGGTTTGCCCGGAGAACTGTTTATAAGGATGTTAAAATTGATGGTCGTACCTCTCATTGCTAGCAGCGTAATTACAGGTAAGTTGATAAATAACAGGTAAGTTGATTAATTACAGGTAATTTTATTCATTACAAAGATTACTTACATATATGATGAATACTTATCAGAAGGAGAAACAAATTATAATAATTTAGCCCACCCATATTTGTTATATGATTCATTTTAGAATTCAAAAACAGCGCTTGCCTAAGGCCATGGATATACGATATCAAGATGATAATAAACCAATTGAACTTAAATTGAAGTTCTTAATCGACAACATATGCAAATTCTAAAAGAATATTTTTCAGCTATATCCCATCAATGAAAAGCATTAATAGTATTATTTTTTTTATTTTTTTTACATATTAACGCTATATAATCAGTGCACATGCCTGGTTGCACAGAAACAAATTTGACTTTTGATACAGTACGCCAAAAAGAATAACACTGCACAAAACAGCTGTTTCGTCCTTCTCAGACTCATCGGTGATGAGAGGGGCAAAAAGGAGGAAATCAAAATCATACTTAACCACTATTGAAACAGAAAGAGAGGTGCATAAACTCTTGGTTATAGGAATTGCGAAAAAAGCACAGTACTAGGTTACTTAGCTATAGTTTTACGTCGAATTACCGTTATATTTTAGCTACAGCCTCTCTGGACGCTAAATCTAATGGCCGGATTAGTCTCGTTTCCATTATCTTCATCGTCTTCACGAATAGCCTTTCTTGTGTTGTCGCCATCGCCCTTGTTCTCATCATGAAACCAGGTAAGTTTTGCTGATATCGTCATTATTATTGTAGCAATTTCCCTTTCTTGATAGTACCATCCCCTTTTCTACCTGGGGTGTTTAATTGTCCTAGTTGATACGGTATTTAAGAACTTGCTCCAGTTACAATGACTACCATGATAGATGTCGATTGCTGACGGATAAACATACACAGATAAAGGTTGATGAAGAATATGGGAAAGTGTTATGGTCGCCATCATGATCTTATATGGAAAAATTATACTTTTTGGATGCGATATCAAGGTTGATGTTTTTGATTATGATCATCAGTTTGCCTCATCTTCGTATTTTCATATGTTCTCTAGTTTGATCGAGTTTGAGTGATAATTATGGTTTTGTTGAAACTTCGGTGTTCTGAAGCTTTTGTTTTGTTTTGTTAAATGTGGTTTTGGAAATAGTTGTCGTATTGATAAGTCATGAAAATAATTAACAAGTTAAAACTGTTCAAGTATGGTAATGTAATTTGTTCTGCTACAAATTGAGCTAATATGACTGTGAACTGCAGAGATGATGACTCTTTTCTCAAAATTAACTATATATATCTATTAAACATTTTACATTTTACACACCAGCAAACGTTTGCTTTACTATCTTGAAAGTATCCACTGATTGATTTGTTTTTTTATCACTGTGCTATATGTTTCTCTGGTAGTTTTAATTTTACTATTTGCAAAAACGTGCTTTATTTTTGTTTTACTTAAAGGAAATGGAGTGAACTCAAAAGTAACAGAGACGATATCTTCAACTGGTATAGAAACATCGGATATATTTGCAGATTTGCTAAGGTAAACACTACGTTATTATTTTTCAATGATTAAAATTTACAAATTAATGTTATTCCGAAAGTGCCTCCGTTTTGATACGGATATATATGAAATTCCGATTATTAAAAAAATATTCATGGATTAAAAATTATCGAAGTGTCGAAAAACCCTTGATTTAAACTGATAATCGATAAAAAAAAACTAGGTCAAAATATGAATAAAAGTTAGATTAATAAGCAGATCCTTGAGAAAAGTGTTGGTAATAATCAGATCACATACAAGAACTATACGTTAATACCAACAACTCGTTAGACACCCTTACTTTAATTCAAAATAATCATTCTTGATCGCTTTTGTGTTGAAAATTGAAATGCAGATTCTTAAAATTGGTGATGGTATACAAGCTAGTTACTTACAAAATGTTCAACAATTCACGTCTTGGAAAATATATGTTGAGAGTTTAATGGAGTTATCACTTCATGATCTGACCAAAATAGAAAGATAAACCTTTAAAAAATCGTATTACTCCTACTCTTACGAGAAATTGAGGATCTTACATGTGTCCATGTCATATTGAATTTGTCAAACAAGTTCAATACTTCTATATGACACGAGCATTAAGGCGAGTGTCATGTAAAGTTATTGAACGAGTTAATTAATTCAATATAACATGGCCACGAATGTAAGATTCTATAACAAAACATTAACATTTTGTGTTATCAACTGACTATTTATGTCAAAACCAACGTACTCAGTCAATGCATCATGTTGTAAAGTAAATAAAAGTAGTTCCGGTAGTAGCATTGGAATATGTTCCCTTGGATCTGATCAATCGCAGCACCTTTAGGTTTTATTACACGCGTCTAATGCCATATTTATGACATGGCCGTATGACATCGTAAAATGGGTCAGTTATCTGATAAAAAGGGTTATGCATTACAAGATGAGATTTTGATAATGGAAACGTACAATTACATAAGACTTTCTCATTCCTTACATAGTTATGATAAATATGCCAAGTGACATTTCTTTACACTGATACACAATTCATAGATATTCTATTTATTCTCGAAAAAAAAGGTTTAGTTACAATAATGCGTTTTATACATTCCTTAGGTATTATTGTGACATGTTTGCTGCTAGGCATAGCCATAAACAAGGTAGAAGAGAAGGGAAAGCCAGTACTCGACATGATAATCATGATGTGGCTTTTATGGTAAAAATGTTTCACAATATTAAACACCCAATATGCCATTTCAATTCAATTTTCTAAAGATATCAATCTAGATGGGGTTTTTTTCATTTCTAATTGGCATTATAATTTTATGATAATAATAAGACGATTCATCCGCATTTTGTTTCTTTGTGGTTGAAGTAGTTTTCAAAAGAAAATAACCACCGTGAAAACAGGATCGCCGCACAAAGCATGTATACTTTTATACAAAAATATTAATTACATGTTATGGGCAAATAAGCAAGGCATGACAATGTGTTTTCGCTGTAGAGGTGGAACATCATACTCGGCGAAAGTTCTTCGGAATACAATACATTATACAGTCAATCCGTCCAACTATCCGAGAGATATAACGAAATATTTAATTTGTTTATACTTAAGTGCGAATATAATTGCTGATTGGTCATAGAACATCTTTGCATTGTGATTTCTCTTTTTCCCTTGTTACAGGTTCACGCCCGTGGGTGTCCTAAGTTTGATCGCATTTACTACAGCTTCTGTAAGAGACCTTGTCCAGAATTTTCAGGCTTTGGGAATATTGGTTGGCCTGATGGTTGTTGGTGTATTACTGCATCAGTTAATTTTAATGCCGACACTGTTTTTTGTGTTGACCCGACGAAACCCTTATAGATTTGCTGTACAGATCGGTAAAGCTTGGATGATTGTCTTTGCAACAACAAGCCCGTAAGTTTTTGTTGGATTGATCATATTATATGATTAATACAAATATGGCGATATTTTCATGGAAATCTGTAAAACTGACATTGTATAGGAAGACATATATATGGCAAAAAATACCTTATTAGGAATTTACCTGACAACTAGAAAAACCAGAAATACCGAGGTGTGAAAAGAAGCTGATGTATGAAAGAGAAAATATTTACTCCAATAAAACTTAATGTAGTTATGATTTATGATTGAAAATGATATATGATAAAAGGTGGTTAAAAAATCTTTTATTAATGACGCTTCATCGCTTGCATTTATTTTAAAAAAGGCAACTCATTTCCGAGGTTTGGTTTCTATAATTCACAAAGTTATGACACGAAAATTCGACCAACTGGATTGAAACAACGAACAAAAAGAGAAAATGAATTATAGTACATTATATTGACAAAAATATTTTCTCTACTTTTTCCTGAATTTCAACATGTACAGTAATCTTAATACAAAGCTGTGTCCACTACTTGTAAAGATCCAATTAACTGTTGTACTAAGGTGAAACAAGGAGTATTTCATTACAGTGCGATGGCTATTCCTGAGATATTGTCCGCGTGCGAAGATCACCAGAAGGGTCAGTCGATTTGTTGCGCCATTGTCCGTGGCACTAAGTTCAAACGGGAGCGTCATGTTAATTGCAGCCGCTTCCATATTTATTGGCAATGTTGTGGGAATGGATCTGAATGCTGGTGACATAATTCTTATAGGGTAGGTTGATTTTACTGAATATTATACATTAATTCTTTAGGTCGATACTTGAAACAGTCATCATCACCATCATAATCATAAAAAAACACTTCTGTGATTAGCTTTATCAATGGAATGGAATATTATAGTTAACATGTATTTAGAAATAGTACAATAGTACAATCATTATTTTACTGAACGTATGTAACGATCCGACCCGATCAGAAGCGGTTCAACCTTTACTTTTGTATCTTCTTGCATCATGTTAGGTCAATATGATTTTTCTTCAAATTCCTACAATTGCGTTTTTCATATCACCTTAACCTAAACAACAAAACAAATAAACATAGTAAGAAGCAAACAAAAACCAGCAAATATGTTTCAGAAAATGATAGCTACACACACTGGTAATATAATCATTTAAACCTCATTCTGATATGATACACCAGTTGTTTTTGCAGCAAATACTTGGTATGTACCATGAGTATTTAACAATTCAGATTATGATATACTAAATTAGCAGTTGTGACTGCTACTGGTTAAGTTCTAGTGGGATTATTGAAGCAGTTGACTAGATGCCGCCATCAGTTTTGAACCGTCAAATAATATGTATGGTTTAGGACAGAGATAAGACTATTTCATAGCTTCTAAACAATGGCAAAAGCGAAGCTAACCCTTTTCGTAATTAACCTGCAGAAGTCAGTTCACTTTTTCCAATTATTACAGTAAAAGTGTTTTCTCTAAAATGTTTTCTTTTTAGCATTTTAGCCGATATTTGCAGCATGGCGTTACCTAGCATACCAAGTGCTAGTATCGTAGCCATAGTGATGATTCTGACATCAATGAACATACCAGCCGGTTCTATTTCTCTGCTGTTTGCGGTTGAGTGGTTTTTGTAAGTATCATAAGTCATAGGACGTTAAACAATACTAAACCAAACCAAACCAGTTGTAAATATCCACTAAAACGTTTTCCCGAGCTCAGCCATTCAAGCGGTAGTTTAACTCATTCTAATTACTGAGATTTAAAAGCTATTCCTTTTGTCATGATAAAGAAACGTAAAACCGTAACTGATATGAGGATTATTGTTTCTTTTGTATATTTGTATATATAAATCAATTCACGTCTGTAAGGTGAAACAAGGAGTATTTCATTACAGTGCGAATTAACTTCCAAAAATAACTCCCTCGTGGAGGGCAAGGTCGGATTTCCGGTGTTCACTGTATTTATCCATGCCCTAAATTTGTTCCGGAGAAAAATCGAAACAATTTCAAATCTAACTTTCAGCTCAGAGTTCTATTGATAAACTTAAATCACCCTATAGACATATCATACGCAATTGTATTGATACTGAATTGTGGAATTGTGGAATATAATTGAAGTGTTTGTTAAAATTTCAAAGTGCTACTTTGTTTGCCAATCAGCACGCGACAATACGCTGTTCAAACTATTGAACGAAAGTGTGTGGACTGTCGATAAGACGGGCATTTTTAATTTTAATTTTAAATTATAGCGCGCATTATGTTGTTTTCTTGCAAAGTTGTGTAATTCAAATAGATCATAAATACCATACAAAAACAGTTCAATGCTTAAATAATATACTGAGAAGTATATACACACATATACATATAAATAATACGCTGATCCGCATTTCACTTTAGGTAAACGCATCTTTGCCGTTTTAACCATCTTCTAAATTTGTTATTTCTATTGCTTCTATTGGCTCGTGTGCCTACCTGATATGAAATTTGTGTTGTTTGACTCATCATAACTTTGTCGAAAATTGTAAAGTTAAGATTGAATAGTTCTTCATTTATTCTGAAGCAATAACGCTAATGATTTCTATCATATTAAGTGTAACCATAAAAAAATAAAAGAAATTGTTATTAATAATTAATACAACAACATTTGAAATGAGGAAGATGTGTTTTGTCTTTTTTTTTTAGGGATCGGATCCGCTCGACCAGTAATCTTGTAAGCCATACACATTGTGTAGTTGTAACGTATCACTTCTGTAAGAAGTCACTGGAACAGTCCGACATGTTACAAGATATAGAAATTGGGGACGACAAGGCCCAACAGTCGGCATTCTAGATATGTTTGCTACGTATTAACATATTAGCTTGATTTATTGTTTGTGTAAAAACAAAATTTAAAATGGATAGAAAAAAGAATGCTAGCACTCGGGACAGTCAGCACTGTATTCATTCCAGAAGGATTCTCATTCAAGGAAACCGAGTCACCTAAGTACAACCGTCATATCCCTACTTGATGACATATTTTTGTTTCAAAACAACTGTGAGGAAATTAAAACGATTAAAAAAACAAAGATCATTATGCACTAAGAGATTCTTTTTCAAACTACAATTAAAACGAATGATGTGTATAATTAAGACAAAATAAAACATGTTGTACATCACAAAATACGTTCTATACGAATAGTTTTTTCTTCATTTTCACTACTTATAATATGCATGTGCTATGGAATTTAGTTTTTTGTATTTTGCCTTTATACCATCAAGATTTAGCTATTGGTCATTATTTCATTACTGGTATTTTAATCAAATAAATGCTCATTTCGACTAGACATGTATTTGTGTTATTATTAGGCGAAAAACAGAGCAGAGTATATCCTGTGTGTAGTTACATTGTTTGTATGCTAACCACGAGAGTATAAACATACATTATGTGCATGTGAATTGCAAATCGACCGATTTTCTATTATCATCGACCTAACACTACCGTACATTTAAGTACTACATTGTGCATACTTATTGCCATGGGATAGTTATACATAGGGGTTCCTCAAAGAGTAATGGTTGGTTATCCCATTTACCTAACTAGAATTGATTTTCGAATTGTATTAAGACCAGCGCATACATATGTTAACCAGCTATCACGAGTTTGTGAACCTTTTTTCTGCGTTTGACGTTTATCTATGTACCACATGCTTCTCTTGAAAATACATCATGCCTGTTTCCGGTGGGGGAAACAATTGCCAACATCATGTGTCACAATGGAAGATGATACCGCAAAGCATTGCTCCGTGACGTCATAATTGAAAGATTCAAATAAAAGCACGTCCAGGGTGTAACTCATAAGTGGGTAAACAAAAATGTTAACCAACTTAAGCAGGTTTACTCAATGAGTCGGTAGTAAGAAACATGTAGAGAAATAGAGCTTCCCCAACAAGTGATGGTTGGTTATCATGTTAACCTAAAAAGACACGAGGTTTAAAAAAAAGAAATGTATGCAGTACATTAAAAGCTGTATATAAAATTCTTTATATTCTCCCTCATTCATGCCTGTTTCCGGTGGGGGAAACAATTTCAAATGATAACAAAAGACATAAATTGGATTATAGCTCGTTACTCATTCGTTTGTTGCAATCCACAACCAAACACATCCTACCCTCACTGGCCAACATACATCTACACAAAATTGCATTTTAATGTGTTTATCAAAAAACATCCTTACACTATAAATAAGAAAATTATCATGTATAGATCTGGTGATGAGCAACGAACTCGAAAGAGCGCACCTAGCGCGTGCTCCCTATATATACCCTACACCACGTGACATCCCCCCGACACTTCCTTACCCGATTACTTACGGAAACAACCGAAGTTAATTTCATTTATATTCTCCCTCATTATATTCGTCCGAATATAATTCAATTAAATTCAAATCATAACACTAGACATAATGAAATTATAGCTCGTTACCCATTCGAAATAGACAAAGGAGTGTGTGAACCGCGCACTGACCATATATCGATACATAAAATCTATCAAATGTTCAAATTTTAAGATACAGCCAATTATGTATCTACCGAATCCGTAATATATCCGTCTTTAGCGACGACACATTTCCAACTTCATGGGCCTTTAAAAGGCGCTCAGATACTTTCTGATTCATAGACGCCTCGGACACTCCTCCGTTCCTTAAACTGTGTAGACCGAACTTTTTCTATCTAAACCTATTGATGATAAGGCATCCAACAATATTTCCTGCGCTCTAGTATAAGACAAAGCTTTGTTTACTCTACATAATGTATACCTCTTGGAAAGCTTACTGTAAGCAACAGAACGACAAATAAATGCCTCGGGTATATCTGATATGCTCTAAATACCGCGACATCCACATTACTGAACAAGTTATCTCCCCTGTCCTAGCAATCACAATACTATTACCACTTCTATAAATGTCAGGTTTACTCCGTTTAATTTCAATCGTCATATAATCTTTTACCGCATGAATATGTTTCACCCTCAATTGTGCAATTCATTAAAACAAAGGAAACCTGCAAACCCTATCAAAAACATATCACACAATATCAAATTAGAAAGATTTGAAGTGTCCGATCCATACTTGTCAATGATTTTTTTTAATCACGTCCGAAGAAATGGGTTCTTTCTTTTGAATTGTCTTACACACTATCCGCCTGTCACCTTCCATCAACATCATTGTAAGCTTGTCCTCACAAGGATTAAATAACAGATTCACATCCTGATGCCTCTTTATGCTGTAATAGTAAGAATTTAGTTCGGATTCAAATACATAAAGATTAATAACATACGAAGCATGACTCGGCGTAACAACCTACAAACATCCACAATAAAAACATCCACTATTCAAACATCCACACTCTTTACCGATAACGGTACTCGCACATGGTACATGATACCGTTATGACTCGCACATGGTACGTCATGTGTTTACACAACCGTTAATATTGTCCGAACCCACCTCGAAAAAATTCATTGGCTTGACAAATTCCAAATGATCTCCATTTTGGGATAATCAGAATTCCTTTTGCCCCACACAGATGGCAATGCGCTAGCACTCTCGGTACAAAAGATGGAGGCGGAACCAACCAATTAATTTCACTCGACCGTTTATAAGCAAAACGTCTACTCCTTTTGTACAGGGTATCCAATATTTTTAATAAAACAAAAATATCACATCAGTCAGGTAGCATTTTACTAAGCACGATATATCGTCCTCCTAATCAGAATGCCCGTACTAAAAATAATTTTTTAACTTATTTGGCTGACACTGCGCATGCTCAAACCATGCGGTACGAAAATCCACTAAATATAATCGTTGTTGGAGATTTTAATGATATATGCTTCTCTTGGAATAATCAGCATGTGACTAGTGAACTTGGACGTCGCCTTTTAATATTGCTTTCCAAAACAATATGTTCCAATTAATCAACGTACCTACTCATTCCACTGAGTTTTTGTGGATAAAACCCATTTGTAAGGTAACAGCTGCACTCTGTAACCTTAATCATTGCACAATTTCTTGTAAACTGAGAGATAATGTATCGAAGCCGTAATCTAATCAAAGAACTATATGGGATTATAAAACAGCAAATATCTTAGGTCTGAATTACGATTTTAACACCGCTCATATTGACATATTCCTTGACGTCTTCGATCATATTGATGATATGATTATACACGTAAACAAATTTATTTTAGACACATGTAAAAGTTTAATATTCAATAAGATAATGATTATTCGCCCTCGTGACAAACCGTGGATAACGAATGAAGTACGTATAGCCTTCAGGAACAGAGAAAAAATAGAAAAAAGACCATCAGCAATTTCAAGGAAGAGAAGAAGATTTGATAATGTCAGAAGATGACGCAACAGAAGTAGCAACGAATGAAGATGCAGCCGATTGATCCATAGATGAGTAAACAGACGAGGATTCAATAGACGAAGAAACAGATAGTTTCACCTGCTGAGAAAATAGATGAAGAAACAACCGATACCGAAACGGATAAAGATTCCCCTAATGAAGAAACTAATGAAGAATCAACTGATGAGGAAACAGAAGACAAGTCAGCTGTTTGTGAAGCAGATGAAGATTCAATCATTATAGAAAATATCGAAGGTAACAATGATGAAGATGTAGATGAAATATCAACAATTGAAGAAACAAAGGAAGGAGACACTGATGCAGAATCAAATGCAGCATTAACAGATGAGGAAACAGATGAAGTTGAAATTGAAGCAGATACAGATGAGAAATTAACAAATGAAGAAACAGATGTAGGAGAAATTGATGAAGAAACAGATGCAGTATCTACAGATGAGAAATCAGACGAAGGAGACATTGATGAAGATACAGATGAAATATCAACAATTGAAGAAACAAAGGAAGGAGACACTGATGCAGAATCAAATGCAGCATCAACAGATGAGAAAACAGATGAAGGTGAAATTGAAGCTGATACGGATGAAATATCAACAGATGAAGAAACAGATGAAGGAGAAATTAAAGCTGATACAGATGAAATATCAACAGATGAAGGAGCAATTTAACCTGATACGGATGAAATATCAACAGATGAAGGAACAAATGAAGGAAATATTGATGAAGATATAGTATCAATAGATGAGAAAACAGATAAAGGACAAATTGAGGCAGATACAGTTGAAATATCAACAGATGAAGGAGATATAGATGAAAAAATATCAAAAGATAAAGAATCAAATGAAGGAGATATTGATGCAGATACAGATGAGGAAAAAGACATAGACTGCACCAGTGACACCACAGATGAAGGAGAAAGAGACTGAACTAATGAAGAAACGGTTTGGCCAGACATTGATGCTGAAATTGCAACAGATGAAGACATGGATGATACATCTACAGATGGAGACTGAACTAATGAAATAACAGACGAAGGAGACATTGATGACGAAGCAAAATTACCATCAGATGAAGACACAGATGAAGACACAGATGAAGATATCGACGATACATCTACAGATGAAGAAACAGATGTTGAATCAACCAGTTAAGAAGATACTGAAGGGGATATTGATGTTGACATAGTGGATACATCGATAGATGAAGGTAAAGATGAAGATTCAGTCAATGAAGAAACAGATGAAGGAGATATTGAAGCAGTCATGCGTGAAGAAACAGGTAGGGCTTCAACTGATGAAGAAGCTGAAGGAAGGGATACTGATCCAGACATATATGAAAATACAGATACGGAATCAACAGATGAAGATGAAGCTAGTGAAGGAGACATTGATGCAGAAATATTAACAAATAAGGACACGGATGAAGAAAAAATTGAAGTGGCCATATATAAAGAAACAGATTGTGATTCAGTCATTGACGAAGATAACGAATGGGACATGGATGCAGACATAGGCGAAATCTCAACAGATGAATACACAGCTGAAGGAGACATTGACGACGCATCAGAAACTAACGAAAGGGAAATTGATGAATGATCAACAGATGCAGAAACAGATGATGATTCAGCCAATGAGGAAACCGCTGCAAAAGAAGAAGACACAGATAGAGGTTCAACAATTGAAGAAGTTATCGAAGGGGGACAAGAAGCAGACACAGATGATGGTTCAACAGACGAAAACGTAGATGAAGGAGATGTTGAAGCAACTATTGATGACACGTCTGCGAATGAAGAAACAGATGAAGGTAATAACGATGCAGATAGAGATGGTATATCAACAGATGACAAAAAAGAAAAAGAATCAGCAAATGAAGAAACTGACGAAGGAGATATCGATGGAGTCATAGATGAAATATCAAAAGATGAAAGAGCAGATGTTGAGGTTGAAGCTTCCATTACAGATGATTAAGATGACGCTACAGCTGCCGGTGTCGAACTGGCAGCTATAACTTCTGCCGATGACGTTGAAGCAACAACTGCAAATGAGAATGTCGATGCTACATCTGCCACTGATGAGGTTGAAAATTCCATTACAGATGATAAAGATGACGCTACAACTTCCGTCATTGATGTTGAAGCTACAACTTCTGCCGATGACGTTGACGCAACAACTGCAAATTATGATGTTGATGCGATATCTGCCACTGATGATGTTGAAGCTTCAATTACAGATGATGAAGATGACGCTACAGCTTCCGGTGTGGAGGTTGAAGCTACAACTGCTGGCGATGATGTTGACGCAACAACTGCAAATGATGATATTGATGCTTCATCTATCACTGATGAGGTTGAAGCCTTAGTTACTGATGATGAGGGTGTCACGACAATTTCCGTCGTCCAAGTCGAAGCTACAACTTCTGCCGATGACGTTGCCGGTAATAACGTTAAAGCTGTTACTGACAGTATCGACACGGAAGAGGAAGAAGCTGGTGAAGACGCTGAAACAATGTCTGAAGAGGAAGCTGACACAGATGTTGAATGTGTCGTAGATGTAACTGATACACGGTTGACCGTAGTAACAAGCGTTTCAATGGCCGTCACTGAGAGAGTTGTTCCACTGAACACAATAACGGTAAGTGCAGTTGGATTGGTAAATATCACACTGCCGGATCCAAACCCAACTTGTCCATTACTACTTATCGACTGAGTAAACTGCTGTTCGACCACGACAGGATCTGGATCGCTAGTGTAGTAGAACTTGTATGTTGTAATAACGCACCCTTTTCTGAAACATACAATTAAAGATATAGATTATTCATTTTGTATGTAACTTTAGTTTGAAGATAATACCGTATACTTAATATTTAGGAATGACATGCAATATCAATAAACATTACATAAAGATATGTTTTACAGGGCGGCATGAAGAACGAATTATAGCATCAAAACAATAAGAAAAACAACAATGATTCTGTAAACATAAAACTGCATCATTGCATCAACAAATGATTAGATAAGAATAGACAATCAGTGCAGATTATTTAATAGAGAGCGTACACAAAAACCATGATACCAAATAAGTAGAAAATAAAAACACGAAAGACTTACGGGGGGGGGGGGCTTTCTGGATGACTTCAATCTGTAAACAAACAATGACATGTGATTGATATTTTTTTTATTTCATAAAGAAAACGTGCATTTAACAGGAATTTTAAATATTCAGTATTTAGTTAAAATGTGAGCTCTTGGGGATATGGTAAGCTACTAAAATTCTATCAGGGGAAATGGAAGCACACACAGCTAGGTAGGACGTCATTCGGCATACCAACTTATCTAGAAATCGAGGATCTACTGAATGAACGATGTAATGCTAAAAAAAACATAATAAAAAGGCCATGGCAGTAAGACACAGAATAACAATTCAAGCACTACATCAGAAAAAACATTTACTCGATGCTTGGTTTGATTTCACTCGGACACCCACATAACAACAGAAAAGAAAGGGGAAAGAAAAGAAAGAAGATAGATAGAAACGGAGACATTTGGAATTTGTTTGACTTTGTAATATATTATATAATACATCATCTAAAATAGTTTTGTTCGAAGCTTCGTTGATTGTATCAGAACCATGTAAAAGTATCTTCACAAGAACATCAGGCATCAACTCTACAATAAGGCCTGGATTGACATGTGGAGCAAATTCATTACATGCCGCTCGAAGCATTTTTTCACAGATATTTTTATATTTTGGACAAATTAAGAAGAAATGGTTTTCATCTTCGGTAGCATTTATTTGGAATTAAGTTATAGGAGGATCTTTGTTTAGTGCGCTGAGACCCATTCTTATTGTACATTGATTAATTTTGCCTTTTCTGTGTCCATATACGTATAAAGGGTTCGCTACCAGAGGTGTCCGATCAATCACAGCTCGCAAGAATGACTAAATTGTTGAATTATTGTGTACTTGCTCAGGTAAGTTGTTCCAATCTCTTATTGCTTTTGGGAAGAATGACTGATGAAGGATGGATTTTTTTGAGAGTATATGAAGAGTTTCTGAAATTATATTTTTGTGTGTGATGGGTCAGAATAAGACAGATAAATTTTAAGCACGGGGTACAAAGGTCATTCTTAATATTGTATATTTCGTTACCTTATAACCACCCATGTATATTAAGGCTGTCCTTCGTTGTACACTTTCAATAAGTTCAGACTCATAATGACTGCAATTGTCCGGCAATATATTACTATATTTGAATATAGATCTGACCATCGATTTGTAGAGAGTCTCAAGACCAAGTCGAAGGATTAAGGAAGATAGTGCCTGTAGTAGGTTAAGTAGCTTGATTGCCTTCGCTACAATCTCTGATATGTGTGTATTCCCGTTTAAGTTTCCAGATTAGATTATACAAAGATGTTTGGTGGTATTTACATGCTTAATAGGAGTATTTTCGAGCATAAGATTAGTTTTTTTCAGAATTCTATTTCTTTTTCTTGAATGATAATTGTATCTGTCATAAAAACTCATAGATACATTGTATACTATTTTTCCAAGACATTTACAGATATTTGAAAGAGGGCAAAAACTTGAGATGTTTTCCATAAGGTAGAAAAACAACCTGACCTGAGAAAAATATTAACAATATGCGACCAAATATGGCATAGTGATCTACAACAGTTTTTAAGTATAAAGTTTCCTTTATCATCTGGTCCTGTTGCTTTGTTCGTATTTTGAGACTTATAAAAGTTACATACTTCATCTGGAGTCGTTTGTACATTTATGTTATCATGTGCATTGATTAGAGGGAGTACCGATTTATCTATGTTGTCGTTGATTGTGCATTGTTCCGAGAAATATTTGTTTATCATATCGGCCTTGTCCCTATCGTCGTGTGTTTGGTTATTATTTTCAATTAAAGGAGGGATTTGTTGTTCACAACTTTTACCCAGAAGTGATTTGGTTATAGACCAAAACTGCTTAGGATTAGTGTTTTTATTGGATAGTTTTCTAATAGTGGACTCTTGATATCGTTTTAACGCTTCACGTTTTACACTATTTGCTTTCCTGGGCGCTGCATGGAACCTGAACTTATCAAAATAATGTTTAGTTCGCTGAAATGTTTTTAAATATCTCTGTTCCTGAAGGCTATACGTACTTCATTCGTTACCCACGGTTTGTCACGAGGGCGAATAGTCATTATCTTATTTAATATTAAACTTTTACATGTGTCTAAAATAAATTTGTTTACGTTTATAATCATATCATCAATTTGATCGAAGACGTCAAGGAATATGTCAATATGAGCGGTGTTAAAAGCGTAATTCAGACATAAGATATGGTTTTAGTACGGGCATTCTGATTGGGAGGACGATATATCGTGCTTAGTAAAATGCTACCTGACTGATGTGATATTTCTAAGATAATACTTTCTATGTTCGGAGATTCTTGGTCTTGGCGCCGTTTGCATATAATTGTTTCACGGATATATATATAGCTACGCCACCGCCATGTCTATTACGATCGTTACTATATAGTTGATAGTTTGGGAGTAGGAGGAGTGAGTATTCTATTTCTGGACATAGCCATGTCTTAGAAACTTTCGTTACGATATAGTTGATAGTTTGGGAGTAGGAGGAGTAAGTATTCTCTTTCTGGACATAGCCATGTCTTAGAAACGTTCGTTACGATNTCGAGGTGGGTTCGGACAATATTAACGGTTGTGTAAACACATGACGTACCATGTGCGAGTCATAACGGTATCATGTACCATGTGCGAGTACCGTTATCGGTAAAGAGTGTGGATGTTTGAATAGTGGATTTTTGTATAGTGGATGTTTGTAGGTTGTTACGCCGAGCCATGCTTCGTATGTTATTAACCTTTATGTACGGGATTACAATGGAAAGGATAAGGCTGAACGAAATTGATTTGTTTTATTACAGAGATTTTTCTCCCGTCTAGGAACAGAGCCAAATCAACATGAACGTGTTATGGGTGACATTAGGAGGATCTCGGATGATCAACTGCTCGGAGAGACAGCAAAAGCTATACAATCTATAATAAGGAGAGGGAGAAGTGACAATACCAACGCCAAATATGACACATATTTTAATAAATTCAAGAGCTGATGCGTATCGAAAGAGTTTTGCCTGCTGCGATTTCGACAGTAGCAGTGTTCATCAGTGCACAGGTACAGATGAATGTGTTTGAATCCGTACCAAATTCTTACTATTACAGCATAAAGAGGCATCAGGATGTGAATCTGTTATTTAATCCGTGTGAGGACAAGCTTATAATGATGTTGATGGAAGGTGCCAGGCGTATAGTGTGTAAGGCCGTTCAAAAGAAAGAACCCATTTCTTCGGACGTGATTAAAAAAATCATTGACAAGTATGCATCGGACACTTCAAATCTTTCAAATTTGATATTGTGTGATATGTTTTTGATAGGGTTTGCAGGTTTCCTTTGTTTTAATGAATTGCACAATTGAGGGTGAAACATATTCATGCGGTAAAGGATTATATGACGATTGACATTAAACGGAGTAAACCTGACATTTATAGAAGGGGTAATAAGATTGTGATTACTAGGACAGGGGAGATAACTTGTCCAGTAGTGTGGATGTCGCGGTATTTAGAGCATATCAGATATACCCGATGCATTTATTTGTCGTTATGTTGCTTACAGTAAGCTTTCCAAGAGGTAAACATTATGTAGAATAAACAAAGCTTTGTCTTATACTAGAGCGCGAGAAATATTGTTGGATGCCTTATCATCAATAGGTTTAGATAGAAAAAAAATCGGTCTACACAGTTTAAGGAACGGAGGAGTGTTCGAGTCGTCTAAGAATCAGAAAGTATCTGAGCGCCTTTTAAATGCCCATGAAGTTGGAAATGTGATGTCGCTAAAGACGGTTATATTACGGATTCGGTAGATACATAGATGGCTGTATCTTTAAATTTGAACATTTGATAGATTTTATGTATCGATATATGGTCAGTGCGCGGTTTACACGCTCCTTTGTCTATTTCGAATGAGTAACGAGCTATAATTTCATTATGTCTTGTGTTATCATTTGTATTTAATTGAATTATATTCGGACGAATATAATGAGGGAGAATATAAATGAAATTAACTTCGGTTGTTTCCGTAAGTAATCGGGTAAGGAAGTGTCGGGTGGATGTCACGTGGTGTAGGGTATATATAGGGAGCACGCGCTAGTTGCGCTCTTTCGGGTTCGTTGCTCATCACCAGATCTATACATGTTAATTTTCTTATATATAGTGTAAGGATGTTTTTTGATAAACACATTAAAATGCAATTTTGTGTAGATGTATGTTGGCCAGTGAGGGTAGGATGTGTTTGGTTGTGGATTGCAACAAACGAATGAGTAACGAGCTATAATCCAATTTATGTCTTGTGTTGTCATTTGAATTTAATTGATTTATATTCGGACGAATATAATGAGGGAGAATATAAAGAATTTGATATACAGCTTTTAATGTTCTGCATACATTTCTTTTTTTTAAACCTCGTGTCTTTTTAGGTTAACATGATATCCAACCATCACCTGTTGGGGAAGCTCTATTTCTCTACATGTTTCTTACTACCGACTCATTGAGTAAACATGCTAAAGTTGGTTAACATTTGTGTTTACCCACTTATGAGTTACACCCTGGACGTGATTTTATTTGAATCTTTCAATTATGACGTCACGGAACAATGCTTTGCGGTATCTTCTTCCATTGTGACATCATGATTATTGGCAATTGTTTCCCCGACCGGAAACAGACATGATGTATTTCCAAGAGAAGCATGTGGAATAGATAAACGTTAAACGCAGAGAAAAGGTTCACAAACTCGTGATAGCTGGTTAACATATGTATGCGCTTGTCTTTATACAATTCGAAAATTAATTCTAGTTAGGTAAATGGGATAACCAACCATTACTCTTTGAGGAACCTCTATGTATAACTACCCCATGGCAATAAGTATGCACAATGTAGTACTTAAATGTACGGTAGTGTTAGGTCGATGATAATAGAAAGTCGGTCGATTTGCAATTCACATGCACATAATGTATTTTTATACTCTCGTGTTTAGCATGCAAACAACCTAACTACACACAGGATATGCTCTGTTCTGTTTTTTGCCCAATAATAACACAAATACATGTCTAGTCGAAATGAGCATTTATTTGATTAAAATGCCAGTAATGAAATTATGACCAATAGATAAATCTTGATGGTTTAAAGGCAAAATACAAAAACTAAATTCCATAGCACATGCATATTATAAGTAGTGAAAATGAAGAAAAAACTATTCGTAAAGAACGTATTTTGTGATGTACAACATGTTTTATTTTGTTTTAATTATACACATCATTCGTTTTAATCGTAGTTTGAAAAAATAAAATTTAGTGCATAATGATCTTTGTTTTTTTCCATCGCTTTAATCATTTTAATTTCCTCACAGTTGTTTTGAAACAAAAATAGTTTATGTCATCTAGTAGGGATATGACGGTTGTACTTAAGTGACTCGGTTTCCTTGAATGAGAATCCTTCTGGAATGAATACATTGCTGACTGTCCCGAGTGCTAGCATCCTTTTTTCTATCTATTGCTGCATCGTTTCCCCTTGTGTTTTATTTCTTTATTAACTCATATATTTCCATTATCCATTATAAATTTTGTTCTTACACAAACAATAAATCAAGCTAATGTTAATACGTAGCAAATATATCTAGAATACCGACTGTTGGGTCTTGTCGTCCCCAGTTTCTATATCTAACATGTCGGACTGTTCCAGTGACTTCTTACAGAAGTGATACGTTACAACTACACAGTGTGTATGGCTTACGAGATTACTGGTCGAGCGGATCCGATCCCTAAAACAAATAGATAAAACACCTCTTCATCATTTTAAATGTTATTGTATTAATTATAAATAACATTTTATTTTTATTTTTTTATGGTTACACTTAATATGATAGAAATCATTAGCGTTATTGCTTCAGCATACATGAAGCACTATTCCATCTAAACTTTACAATGTTCGACAAAGTTATCAATGCGAAAAAAAAAAATTCATAACAGGTAGGCACACGTGCCAATAGAAGCAATAGAAATATCAAATTTAGAAGATGGTTAAAATGGAAAAGATGCGTTTACCTAAAGTGAAATGTGGATCAACGTATTGGCGTCTTCCTATCAAATTATTTATATATATATATGTATATACTGATAAGTATATTATATACATGTATAAAAGGTTGGGTGGGGGGAAGAAAGTTTTTGAAAAATACTGTTCTCAAATAATGTCATCATAGGATTCAGAAAATATATATATATTAATTATGTTCCTATTGATACGGATGGTAACATGGATAATCACAAATATACAAAAGAAACAATAATCCTCATATCAGTTACAGTTTTACTAAGGGTTTGTGAACTTTGATAAGTATAATTCAGAGGAAACTGGTATCAAAATTATCATTTGACAAATGCAATTTAAGTATTATCACCTTTCAACAAAATATAACTGTTTTTTTATCATGAAAGAAGGAATAGTTTCCATGCATCATTACAAATCTCAACAACTATAATGAGTAAAACTACATCTTGAATGGTAAGCTTGGTAAAACGTTTTGGTGTATATCTACAACTGACTTATGATAAGTACTTACAACAACCACTCAATAACAAACAGCAGAGAAATAGAACCGGCTGGTATGTTCATTGATGTCAGAATCATCACTATGGCTACGATACTAGAACTTGGTATGCTAGGTAACGCCATGCTGCAAATAGCGGCTAAAATGCTAAAAAGAAAACATTTTAGAGAAAATGCTTTTACTGTAACAATTGGAAAAAGGGAACTGATTTCTGTAGGTTAATTACGAAAGGTGTTAGCTTCGCTTTTGCCATTGTTAAGAAACTATGAATTAGTCTCTTATCCGACTTAAAAAGTACATACTATTTGACGGTTCTAAACTGATGGCGGCATCTAGTCAACTGCTTCAATAATCCCACTAGAACTTTACCAGTAGCAGTCACAACTGCTAATTAAGTATATCATAAGCTGAATTGTTAAATACTCATGGTACATACCAAGTATTTGCTGCAACAACAACTGGTGTATCATATCAGAATAAGGTTTAAATGATTATACTAATAGTGTGTGTAGCCATCATTTTCTGAAACATATTCGCTGGTTTTTGTTTGTTTGATTCTTTGTTCGTTTGTTTGTTTTATTGTTAAAACTAAGGTGATATGAAGATGGAAAACACAAAAGTAAGACAAAAATAATATTGACCTTAACATGATGCAAGAAGGTACAAAAATAAACGTTGACCAGTTTTGATCGGATTGGATCGTTACATTAGTTCAGTAAAATAATTATTGTAATATTGCTAAATGCATGTTAACTATAATATAGTGACGCAATTGATAAAGCTTAATCTGAGGAGATTTATATTTATGGTGGTGACTGTTGCAAGTATCGACCTAAAGAATACTAATTAATGTATAATATTCAGTAAAATCAACCTACCCTATAAGAATTATGTCACCAGCATTCAGATCCATTCCCACAACATTGCCAATAAATATGGAAGCGGCTGCAATAAACATGGCGCTCCCGTTTGAACTAAGTGCCACGGACAATGGCGCAACAAATCGACTGACCCTTCTGTCGACGTTCTGGTGATCTTCGCACGCGGACAATATCTCAGGAATAGCCATCGCACTGTAATGTAATACTCTTTGTTTCACCTTAGTACAACAGTTAATTGGATCTTTACAATTAGTGGATACAGCTTTGTATTAAGGTTACTGTACATGTTGAAATTCAGGAAAAAAGCAGAGAAAGTATTTATGTCAATATAATGTACTATAATTCATTTTCCCTTTTTTGTTCGTTGTTTCAATGCAGTTGGTCGAATTTTCGTTTCATAACTTTGTGAAATATAGGAGCCAAACTTCGGAAATTAGTTGCCTTTTTTAAAAGAAATGCAAGCGATGAAGCGTCATTGATAAAAGAATTTTTAACCACCTCTGATCATATATAATTTTCATGTGATTTAACCATGACTACATTAATTTCTATTGGAGCAAATATTTTCTCTTTCATACATCAGCTTTTTTTCACAACTCGCTCATGCTTACTTGGAAAAAAACATTATATTGCTTAAGTAACCATATCTATTCAACTGGTATTTCTAGTTGTCATGTAAATTCCTAATAAGTTTTTTTTGCCCTTATATATGTCTGTCTATTCAATGGCAGTCTTACAGATTTCTATGAAAATCATCACCAGATTGGTATTAATCATATATCATGATCAATCCAACAAAACTTACGAGCTTGTTGTTGCAAAGACAATCATCCAAGCTTTACTGATCTGTACAGCAAATCTATAAGGGTTTCGTCGGGTCTACACAAAAAACAGTGTCGGCATTATAATTAACTGATGCAGTAATACCCCAGCAGCCAGCAGACCCACCAAAATTCCCAAAGGTCCTTTACAGAAGCTGTAGTAAATGCGATCAAACTTAGGATACCCACGGGCGTGAACCTGTAACAAGGGAAAAAGAGAAATCACAATGCAAAGCGTCAATATGTAAAGATGTTCTATGACCAATCAGCAATTATATTCGCACTTAAATATAAACAAATTAAATATTTCGTTATATCTCTTGGATAGTTGGACGGATTGACTGTATAATGTATTGTATTCCGAAAAACCTTCGCCAAGTATGATGTTCCACCTCTACAGAGAAAACACATTGTCATGCCTTGCTTATTGGCCCATAACATGTAATTAATATATTTGTATGAAAGTATACATGATTTGTGCGGCGACCTTGTTTTCACGGTGGTTATTTTCTTTTGCAAACTATTTAAACCAGAAAGAAACAAAATGCGGATGAATCTTCTTATTATTATCATAAAATTATAATGCCAATTAGAAATGAAAATAAAAACATCTAGATTGATATCTTTAGAAAATTAAAGTGTACTGGCATATAGTTATTGGGTGTTTAATGTGGTGAAACATTTCTACCATAAAAGCCACTTCAGGATTATCATTATGACACCTGTCAGCGAATTAAAGAAGTCGAGTACTGGCTTTCCCTTCTCTTCTGCCTTGTTTATTGCTATGCCTAGCAGCAAACATGTCATAATAATACCTAAGGAATGGATAAAACGCATTATTGCAACTAAATCTTTTTTTCGTGAATAAATAGAATATCTATGGATTGTGTATCAGTGTAAAGAAATGTCACTTGGCCTATTTATCATAACTATGTAAGGAATGAGAAAATCTTATGTAATTGTACGTTCCATTATCAAAACTTAATCTTGTAATGCACAACCCTTTTTATCACATAACTGACCCATTTTACAATGCCATACGGCCATGTCATAAATATGGCATTAGACGCGTGTAATAAAACCGAAAGGTGCTGCGATTGATCAGAACCAAGGGAACATATTCCAACGCCACTACCGGAACTTCTTTTATTTACTTTACAACATGATACATTTACTGAGTACGTTGGTTTTGACATATACAGAGTCAGTTGATAACACAAAATGTTATTGTTTTGTTATAGAATCTTACATTCGTGGCCATGTTATGTTAAATTAATCAACTAGTTCAATGACTTTACATGACACTCGCCTTAAGGCTCGTGTCATATATATATACAATGATTGAACCGGTTTAATAAATTCAATATGACATGGACATTCATGTAAGATCCTCTATTTCACGTAAGAGTAGGAGCAATAAGTATTTTTAAAGGTTTACCTTTTTATTTTGGTCAGGCTATGAAGTGATAACTCCATTTAACTCTCAACATATATTTTCCAAGACGTGAATTGTTGAACATGTTTGTAAGTAACTAGTTTGCATACCATCACTAATTTTAGGAATCTGCATTTCAATTTTCAACACCAAAGCGATCAAGAATGATTCTTTTCAATTAAAGTAAATGTGTCTAACCAGTTGTTGGTATTAAAGTAAATAAGTATAGATGTTGTGTATGTGATCTGATTAATACCAACACTTTATTCCTATGTATACTGCCTCAATGGGTTACTTTTGAATTGAAATCCTTTTGTTTATTAATATTTTTTCTATTCGTCTGTTCGTTATATATATACTTACAAATGAAGTTGAGTAATGAAGAACGTATATATCACAAGCTATACGTACCGAGTATATTGGTGCCCGATGTTTTCCCTATCGACTTGTTAACTTTTCTGAAAGTCTCCTCGTCAGTTCCGTTAGTTGTATTCCTTAAGTAGGTTTCATTAGTCACGTCGTTTCGTGTCAGTGTTTGTTGGAACGCCATATCCACAATATTGTCAGGCATTATATTTCTGAAATTACAAAACATAAGCTTCCGTTCAGTCCTTTAAAACAAGAAATCGCTGCTACTGTTGTTGTCTTTTCAAATTATCATTAAGTTCTGATAACATAACAAGTGTCGTCGATTAAGCAGAAGACGTTCATTCTTGCAGAACATCTGGTCCTATTCTTCTTTTCATTTTTTCAGGAATCTGCTTATTAATCTAACTTTTATTCATATTTTGACCTAGTTTTTTTTATCGATTATCAGTTTGAACCAAGGTTTCTTTGACACTTCGATCATATTTAATACGTGAAAGTTTTCTAATAATCGGAATTTAAGATACATCCGTCAAAAGGAAGGCACTTTCGGAATAACATTAATTTGTAAATTTAGTTAAATTTGAAATCATTGAAAAATAAAAAAATAAAATGTAGTGTTTGCCTTAGCAAATCTGCAAATATATCCGATGTTTCTATACCAGCTGAAGATATCGTCTCTGTTACTTCTGAGTTCACTCCATCTCCTATAAGTATAACAAAAATAAAGCACGTTTCTGCAATTAATAAAATTACAACTAACAGAGAAACATAAAGCACAGTGATGAAAAAATTCAAGATAATAAAGCAAATGTTTGCTGGTGTGTAAAATGTAAAATGATTGAAGTTGATCTTGAGAAAAGAGAGTCATCTTCTCTGCAGTCAACAGTCGTATTAACTCATGGTGTAGCAAAATACATCACATTACCATACTTGAATAGTTGTAACTTTTTAATCATTTTCATGACTTATCAATAAGACAACTATTTTCAAAACCACATTAAACAAAACAAACAAAAGATAGAGGACATCGACGTTTCAACAAAACCATAGGGATCACTCAAATTCGATAAAACTGGAGAACATATGAAAATACGAAGATAAGGCAAACTGATGATCATAATCAAAAACATCAACCTTGATACCGCATCCAAAAAGTATCATTTTTCCATATAAGATCAAGATGGCGACCATAACACTTTCCCATATTCTTCATCAACCTTTATCTGTGTATGTTTATCCGTCAGCAATCGACATCTATCATGGTAGTCATTGTAACTGGAGCAAGTTCTTAAATACCGTATCAACTAGGACAATTAAACACCCTAGGTAGAAAGGGATGTTACTATCAAGAAAGGAAAATTACAACAATGATAACGACGATATCAGCAATACTTACCTGGTTTCATGATGAGAACAAGGGCGATGGCGACGACACAAGAGAGGCTATTCGTGAAGACGATAAAGATAATGGAAACGAGACTAATCCGGCCATTAGATTTAGCGTCCAGAGAGGCTGTAGCTGAAATATAACGGTAATTCGGCCTGTAGCGGAAATATAACGGTAATTCGACGTATAACAATAGCTCAGTAAACCAGTACTGCTTTCTCTTTTGCAATTCCTATAACCAAGAGTTGTATGCGCATTTCCTTCTGTTTCAATAGTGGTTAAGTATGATTTAGATTTCCTCCTTTTTGCTCCTATCATCACCGATGAGTCTGAGAAGGACGAAACAGCTGTTTTGTGCAGTGTTATTCTATTTGGCGTACTGTATCAATAGTGAAAGTTGTTTCTGTGCAACCACGCGTGTACACTGATTATATAGCGTTAAAATTTAAAAAGAAGAAAAAGAATATGACGTATTAATGTGTTTCATTGATGGGATATAGCTGAAAAATATTCTTTTTAAATTTGCATATGTTGTCAATAAATAAGTTCTATTAAAGTTCAATTGGTTTATTAGCATCTTTATATCGTATATCCGTGGCCTTAGGCAAGTTCTGTTTTTGAATTTTAAAATGATTCATATTACTTGTCCTTGCACATACTGGTGGGCTAAATTATTATAATTGTGATAAATATTCATCATATATATAATTAATCTCTGTAATGAATGAAATTACCTGAAATTATCAACTTACCTGTAATTACGCTGCTGACAATGAGAGGTATGACCATCAATTTTAACATCCTTATAAACAGTTCTCCGGGCAAACCTGTAATTTTAGAACAAACATTTGAAACAAAGGAATGCTCAATAATCAATTCTTGGTTTGGTAATACTTCAATGTAATTATATTTTCACGTTACTTCATTATATACCTTTTATTCTGTATCCTCTCCATCCTGATGCGACGACACTTTATATTTGTTGATAACTATATAGTATTGGATCTCAGTACGTGTGTTGGAAAGTATTAACTTCCAAAAAAACATTCAGGTGCAACGTTCTTCCTAAACATTCCCTCGTCGTTTTTGCTATTTAAACTTGTGGCCGTGTGTGACTGATCATTTCAACGAAAGGAATACGCAAGTTTAATCGCTTTAATGTATTCCTATGATAATATTTAAGAACAGGGGAAAGGGTTAAGAAAGTATGACGTACTTGATGCGCTCCTTTCAATAAATTTTATAAACGCTACACGTATTGCGTTTAATTATGATTACGTCAATTAACTAACGTTACTTTATATTGTTCTCTATATCATGTTTTGGATGCGGTCATTCATCAAAAGCATATATCTGTTACAATTCGATAGTGGGCTTTACTCATGTGTACACGTGTAATTATGATAATTAATAACTATATTTATGTTTTGTTTGTGTGTGTGTCTGTGTCGGTGTGTGTTGTATTGTAAGTAATCAAAAGTGAGTTACCTCCCTTTAAATACTTTATCGATTACATTTATGTATTTTCATTTCAAAATATCTATAAAATATATTTAGCTATAGTTCTATAATATTCTTGTAATAATCTAGCCACCTATGGAAAGAATTTATATAGGCTTGACTGTTATTCGATCCATTTGACCATAACACCATGTCAATAAAATCTGTTGAAATGAAATAATGGGCTTTAAATCAGAGAGCGCTAAATTAAAAAAAATCGGTATTTTTTGTCATTTTCTCGTCATTGATATAAACATTCCCCTAGAATATTGTTCCCTAACCTAATTTTCTGCTCTGTTTCACCCGACCGACCATTCTTGACAAAACGAATAATACCTAACCTAATTTTCTGGTCTGTTCCACCCGACCGACCATTTTTGACAAAACGAATAATAATATAAAGTCATTTGGTTACTCCAATCAGAAATTTCCTTTCAAACTAACTTTTCAGGAGGAAAAATGACCGTTCAAGTGGAGACCTTGTAATCTATCGCTCCGTATAAAAAGACACGGGGCCACGAGCAAGATCTGTGCTCTAAAAGTAAGTTAGTAAAATCGTTATTTCAAATCACTTTTATATATAACTAATATTACAGCACTTTGAAATATATTACCAAACTTGCTTGCAAGGATTAATTTTCTTTCATTTTCCATACAATGTAATTATTTTTGTTTTATTTTTTAAATTACTTATGTAAGAGTCAAACGGACTGATAAGTCACTCCTAGTTGTATCAGAAAAGATAAGTTTAATATTTTCCATTCACTGAAATGCACTTTTAGCAAAATATATACCATGTCGAATTTTATGCAATATGATAGCAACCATTAGTCTATCAACATCTGATATACTGTGTTATTGTGATTGGTGCTTGAAAACTTAAATATAACCACCTACCTATCCAAGTCAGAACTTCGGGAGATGGTTTTGCCTCCCGGATACCAAATCCTAAAGCGAACCCGAGGACGATCCCTGCAGTAGTCAGCGTGATCATCAGGTTTTCCTTTATCCATCGTCTAATAGGTGAGATTTTCCTGTTTGTCTTCATGTTGTAAACTGTAAGTTCTACTTAATCCCAAGAGATCAGCTGTAACACGAAACGTGAAAGTAATGTGTATAGCTCGCTTGAGGACCACTGAGCGTCACTATGCACTGATAATCTTATTCATGTTCCTCCTTGAAAGTCATGTCATATGTTTCTTGACTGAATCAACAGCGTCGCATTTTTATCGGTCGGATGGACACACTCAATTACTTTTACATATAGTAAGAGTGAACGTGACAACGATATCATAATAAAACGACTTACCGGTTTTTACTCGACTATTAACCATTTATTTCTATATCTTATTAAAGCAGTTCGTGACAAATATCAGAGTAAATCAAAATAAAACGACTTACCGATTTTTACTCGACTATTAAGGCAATTATTTGTTCAGACTCTCTATCTGTCCTACAGAGTTTACAGTTATGAGATCCTAAAAACACACTCGTACAAAACCTTGCTCTTCGAATATCTCGTATCTTAAAAAAGTCTAAAATAACTTTACTATGGATTCCGAGCCATGTCGGAATTAAAGGCAAATAATTTGCTGACAGGGAAGCAAAAAATGCATTGAATATCGAACAAACAAATATTAAACTACCATACACAGCTTTTAAACCTACTATTCGTACAGCCATTCAAAATGAATGGCAGCAACGCTGGGGTCTCGAGACCACCAACAATTTTTTTAAGATACAACCGAAACTTAAAACATCTATTCCCAGTCGGAAAGATTGTAGAGAGGCTCCCTACTGGGCACACATATCCTATTCATTCGTACCTTTTAAAATGAGAAGATCTACCTTCATGCCACGCATGTGACACTCCATTTACAGTGGAACAAATTTTTAAATAGAATGTTCCGATTTTAAACACATTAGTGATAATTACTTTCGAGTCCCGGATTTGAAAACTCTTTTCAGTTCCGTGGACTCGAAGGCATTATTTAACTATTTGAAAGACATCGGTCTATTTTATAGACTCTGATGTCTTTTAACCCACCTTACCCTTTTTGACGTTATATATATATCACATATTCCTTATCATCTATTCGTTATCTCTTTTATCATTTTAACCCCCTTTTTATTTTGTATTATCTAATCATGCAATGCGAATGCTTTTAAAATGAACCATTTTATCTGATTTTATCTTCGCTACTCACATGTTTGTTGAAATAATAAGATAAATAAATAAATCACCATGGCTCTAAATGACCACAGCCGTCGATGGGCCGTTAAACATAAACAAACAAACAAACAAACTATTTAGTATTTATATCTATATCTTATTAAAGCAGTTCGTGACAAATATAAGAGTAAATCAAAATTTAAATAAAGTATGTAAAACACTGTGTTCACTCATTTTCCATAGTTAAATATTTATCGACTATTATTTTCACCTTGGTTATTTTAATTTATAGGGCGTTAAACCTTTAAAATGTGTTATCGCTGTTATGAATTATGAATATACATAAGACCATGTTTAATACCTTCAAATATACAATTTAAAACAGTATACTGTCATAAATTCATTTTAAGCTACAGTTTCATTGGAATGATGTGAATTTAATGGTTGCATGTAAGGTCATATGTACCATTGGGAAACGCTTACACCTGTTGTTACCCACTGCATGATCGTAAGAGGCGGCTAATAAAGGAGCCCCTTTGAGAATTGGATATTTGCGTTAGTGCCATCTACTTGGGGACACAAAATTGACCAAAATAAACCTCCTGCACCCAATTCAATATTTTGGATCTTTATATTTCTCTATTTCCAACTGCCTTTTTGTTATTTCTAAGTGCCTTTCTTGACCATATATCCCTTTCTGCTTTGATGTTGAACATTGGAGCCTAGGTGAGGAAGGCAGCGGGTCCCTTTATACGGACATGTCAAAGTCCTTAAAAATGGTACTTGCTACTCCCTGCTTAACATTCAGCAACTAGGGAAGTGACAACATCTGGTTTTCCCGTTGTCAGTTTAATGTGACCGGGCGGGAGGATATCAAAGGGAGACAATCATACCAACATATCCTTATGTCCAGAAGAAAAAAACACATTTACCTGCAGGATCATGATGACGCCCATAAACTTTCGCCATAGTCTTCATTAACCTGAATCTTAGGAAACCCTGTATTTAAAGTTTGTCCGTCAGCAGTCAACATCTAGCATATGAGTCATGATATTTGAAAAGCTCGTGAGTACCGGAACAACTGGAAGATGTAAACACCGTAGGTATTTTCTGTGACGATTCCGTTGTGGTGGACAGAGAGAGCAACATGTTTAAGCTGAAATAGGCGATGCCATAAGGATGCAATGCGGTTCTTAAGCAAAAGAAGGGGGCCCATAGCCTCTCGGACGTTTTGAAAAAGGTAAAAAAAACTATGATAAACACATAACCATTTCACTTACTGCGTTGTACGAAAATTTACAATGTTTTTATTCATCGCCAGTGTTGTTGATGACTTACCGGTACGTTAGATATTAACGCCTGCTTTATTCACTCATTGTAAAAAGGTCCCCGTCAAAATTACTTTATCCACGCCTTTTGTCTGATTTCAGAGAGATAGCCGCTATCAATCGCGTATTTTAGTCCTATAACTGAACAGATTTCATCGGCAGTTTCTATAAACTACTCCAAAGTATATGATATATTTTGAATGGGGAACATATATAATGGAAATTAGTCGTAAGTTATGATATTTGAAGTTTTGGATAAAATTACGCATGCTATGAAGAAATGTCTATTGAGGACAGAGACGGGGTTTGTTCAGTATGTGTCTTAAAAGTTGATTCTCAAATGTCGTTTTTATTCCAATTTACACAATTCATTTATAAAACCTTTTTGTTGTTGTCCACAGAAAAGAAAAGAAAGAAATAGCTAAGTAGGCTACAAATGTATGACTATAAATGAGGTCAGTTATATCTAGTGCTTGTCAGTAATATATCCATATGTCCCTATCATCTAATGTTATTTTATTATTCAGGACATTGTTACTTAGCAGTGCACTATTTCTCCCTTCACTTCTAGGAGAATGTGCGGAAGTGGTGTGTATGTGTTGTTGTTGTTGTTGTTTAATTGTTTACTTTATGCTGCACTGTATATATGCACAACTGATGAACTGTAAAAATTCAGGTAACAAATGAACTTCAACTTATAGTTTCTTCAAAAATGACCAAGCAAGTCATATGAGAAACAGGCAGAGCTTTCACTGTCATCACTCCTCGCCTTGGTGTTCGATCTTGTAGATATCGCGCTGGACAATTTTGGGAAATTAAAGTTTGGATGTGGTGTAGAAATGATTGCGTGTTTTAAACCCAATGCGTTGACTATACACCTCTACGTTAGATGTTATTGGTGACTGATCTGTACATTAGGTGTTATTGATGACTGATATGTACGTTAGGTGTTATTGATGACTGATCTGTACATTAGGTGTTATTAATGACTGATATGCACATTAGGTGTTATTGATGACTGATCTGTACATTAGGTGTTATTGATAACTGATATGAACGTAAGGTGTTATTGATGACCGATCTGTAAGTTAGGTGTTATTGATAACTGATCTGCACATTAGGTGTTATTGATGACTGATCTGTACATTAGGTGTTATTGATGACTGATATGTACGTTAGGTGTTATTGATAACTGATCTGCACATTAGGTGTTATTGATTACTGGTCTCTACGTTAGGTGTTATTGATGACTGATCTGTACATTAGGTGTTATTGATGACTGATATGTACGTTAGGTGTTATTGATGACTGATCTGTACATTAGGTGTTATTGATGACTGATATGTACGTTAGGTGTTATTGATGACTGATCTGTACATTAGGTGTTATTGATGACTGATATGTACGTTAGGTGTTATTGATGACTGATCTGTACATTAGGTGTTATTGATGACTGATATGTACGTTAGGTGTTATTGATGACTGATCTGTACATTAGGTGTTAATGATGACTGATCTGTACGTTAGGTGTTATTGATAACTGATATGTACGTTAGGTGTTATTGATAACTGATCTGCACATTAGGTGTTATTGATTACTGATCTGTACATTAGGTGTTATTGATGACTGATATGTACGTTAGGTGTTATTGATAACTGATATGTACGTTAGGTGTTATTGATAACTGATCTGTACGTTAGGAGTTATTGATGACTGATATGTACGTTAGGTTTTATTGATGACTGATCTGTACATTAGGTGTTAATGATGACTGATCTGTACGTTAGGGGTTATTGATAACTGATATGTACGTTAGGTGTTATTGATGACTGATATGTACGTTAGGTGTTATTGGTGACTGATCTGTAAATTAGGTGTTAATGATGACTGTTATGTACACTGTGTGATATTGGTGACTGATCTGTACGTTAGGTGTTATTGATGACTGTTATGTACACTGTGTGATATTGGTGACTGATCTGTACGTTAGGTGTTATTGGTGACTGATCTGTTCATTATGTGTTATTGATGACTGATCTGTACATTAGGTGTTATTGATGACTGATATGTACGTTAGGTGTTATTGATGACTGATCTGTACGTTAGGTGTTATTGGTGACTGATCTGTTCATTATGTGTCATTGATGACTGATCTGTACATTAGGTGTTATTGATGACTGATATGTACGTTAGGTGTTATTGATGACTGATCTGTACATTAGGTGTTATTGATGACTGATCTGTACGTTAGGTGTTATTGGTGACTGATCTGTTCATTATGTGTTATTGATGACTGATCTGTACATTAGGTGTTATTGATGACTGATATGTACGTTAGGTGTTATTGATGACTGATATGTACGTTAGGTGTTATTGATGACTGATCTGTACGTTAGGTGTTATTGGTGACTGATCTGTTCATTATGTGTCATTGATGACTGATCTGTACATTAGGTGTTATTGATGACTGATATGTACGTTAGGTGTTATTGATGACTGATCTGTACATTAGGTGTTATTGATGACTGATCTGTACGTTAGGTGTTATTGGTGACTGATCTGTTCATTATGTGTTATTGATGACTGATCTGTACATTAGGTATTATTGATGACTGATATGTACGTTAGGTGTTATTGATAACTGATCTGCACATTAGGTGTTATTGATTACTGGGCTGTACGTTAGGTGTTATTGATGACTGATCTGTACGTTGGGTGTTATTGATGACTGATCTGTACGTTAGGTGTAATTTATGACACATATGTCTTCCCGAATTTTAAACCACACAATTGATCATTTTTTTGAGTTTTTCGGAGTTTAAAAGTAAACAGAAAGAGTATAATATGAGTATGAGTCGTGAGTTTTTCGGAGTCATACTGTAGAAACTGTGGTTATATAAGAATAAAAAATAGTAATTATTATTTTGTATAAGATCATAAAATGTGGGTTTTTTTAGAATAAGAGTATGGCAAATGAGTTATTGAACATTCACCGTTTTTACTCAATAGTTTTCGAGAGTAATAGATTTAAATGTGCTTATACAGGAGTCATGAAGTATTGTAAGAAAGCATCCCTTAGAATGTGAGTATATAAGTTGACTGGATCATCTAATTATGGAAAGTAATTTTCGAGAGTATTCTAGATCTAATATATGTTAATTTTGATATTAAACCACATTTTGTGTTAGTGTCTTTAGCAAGTACAGTTGAACACGTGATCTGCAAAATCCACTGTTGTTTTGCCTAAATCTGTAAGAAAAATATATGAATGGGTGTTTTTTTTTAAATAGTCATTTTGTATTATCGATGTTCTGAGGGAATATAGCTTTTAATAGACTTAAGCTGGGATTATCCAAAACCCATATATGTACCATCAGTATTTTGGAGTTATTAAATCTGAAAATGAGCTTACGGGTGATATTAATTTCCATAGTTTCGTAGCAAAGTCGTTCATATTCAATATGATAATAAATCGGACCCATTTATTGTGATAGTTAATTTATATGTTTAACATCAATACATTGTATCGTTTACATCGTAATTTGATGACTTTGTGTAAATTATCAGTCAGAGCATTTTGTCTATCTTTCTTAAATGTAAAACAATAAACACAAAAATAAAATCATATGTTAATTTAAAAATACATTTTATTCAATCTCTGATACTTCTTTATGAATGAATGAAGTATTCAACAAAACCCATAAATTTATGACAACTGTATCCACTTAATACATTTTTTATTTAAGCTATTCACTTTTTGATAATGTTTGTAAATAAGCAAAATAATAATTAATTTAAGCCTCAAGGAATGGCTTTGAATTACATATTCTAACTACGCGTGTAAGACTTGAATAATTGTTTTGTTTGATCAAGCAGGAACCCGTCTAGGTTTACCGAAGTGCTCGAAATGAGTTTTTTTCTTATCAAATATTCAATCAATCGGTAAAAAATATACGCATTATTTCAATCTCTTCACATCAGCATAATTTCAATTCCTTTGTGTTTCGCATCGCATAAAAGAAATTCAATTAAAAAACAAAATCAACTATATTTAATATTAATAATAAAATAACTAAATATCGGACAAAATATCGTCCGTCACATTTCATATTCTGTTTTGTTTTAACCCGGTTATATTTAGAGTAACAGAGCACCAGATGAATTGATTGAAAAATATTTACGTAATCGAACAGACTTCAATTGGAGACAACTCTCATCGTATTTGGCGATGGATCACAGGAAGACATGGCTACAGAGTGATATTTACTTCATAGAACGAATTCAGCATTAAATTCATAAAACAGTCAGGTAAAATGTTTATCACCGGGGACTCAATTGATCCCCTACACATGTCATACACAAAATTGCTCATATTTCTTGGTATTTGTTTTCAAATCTATCGCATTTGGAAAGTTGTATATAGTAGATATGTGTCTATATGATGGCATTCAGGTTAGGTATAACGATATGTAACGACGATCGCATAGCATTCCTTTACAAATCTATAAATCTGTGTAATAACATAATTTATTTAACATTTTATTTATACATTAAAACATATGATGAAATTTACAGTTATGCATTTATTGCTAACTAGGAACTACAAAACAGCATGTCATCACACACATGCACATCCTAAAACACACATATATAACTTTCACATCTGCACTGAAAAACATACACATTCTTGCTTCGAAATTACATACCAAAATGCACACACACACTAATCATGAACGCTATCTTACTGTATAGTAATAAACCAATATGTACACATTGCATACCCGTTGCCCGTAGTTTCCACTAAGAAACAATAACAAATATTATAATAACATTATACAAAGACATGATATCTGCTGTTTGATCACTTTGTTTTTGAACAATAAAAACAATGTTATTTGATTTAATGTGTTACTTTTAACTGACCTTTATGAGTGTCAACAAAATGACATTTTCATTTATACTGTACGAGTTTAAGTTATGCTTCGTTTTTATACATTTATAAAATAAATAAAAAGAAATGCTTGCATTGATCAATCTTTTGAACGAAATTAATTTTATGTTAAAAACAAATCAAATTCAAATTCAAGTTGTTTTATTACTTACAAGTCTAGGGTTTGATTCCAACTCATTTCGACATGTAAGTCAGTTTTACTGATTCAGTAATACCTGCGTCGAAATATGGAAAATAAACAGCCAGTGTAGATGTTGTGCAGGCAAATCAGTTACTTCATTTATAGTACCGTAAATATGTTAGTAAAACTGGCTTGTCGACCTTTAAACACAGAAACAATATTGCTATTGTGTAATTGTCCCCTTTTCAGTTAACGTTGCCGGTATATTGAGTGTCCATGTCACTACCAAAAACGTCAAGGCATTCGACGAGAAAATACCGTTACTCCACTTCAGCCACACAGTTATTTGGATTTCACATCGAAAGAAGTTTATGTCTGCCCCGAATGCACTTGGAGTTCAAACAATGATGAACCATGTGAACCCTCTATGAACCATCCGCCACTAGCGTGACCGGCACTGTTGGCAACACTCGTGGATTTTATCACAACGGACGCTTCATATATCTGACTGAATCAGAGATGTGTCACTTACAGTCGAATACAACACAGAATAGGGATCAGTCAGCATTGGCGCGACTTATAATAAGGAAGGATCCATGTAAGATGTAACTATCAGGACATCAGTAAACGCCGTGTTCGTCATGCAAGCCATAGAAAAAAGACCGTCATCAATTTCAAGGAAGAGAAGAAGATGTGATAATGTCAGAAGATGACGCAACAGAAGTAGCAACGAATGAAGATGCAGCCGATTGATCCATAGATGAGTAAACATACGAGGGATCAATAGACGACGAAACAGATATAGTTTCACCTGCTGAGAAAATAGATGAAGAAACAACCGACACCGAAACTGATAAAGATTCCCCTAATGAAGAAACTAATGAAGAATCAACTGATGAGGAAACAGAAGACAAGTCAGCTGTTTGTGAAGCAGATGAAGATTCAATCATTATAGAAAATATCGAAGGCAACAATGATGAAGATGCAGATGAAATATCAACAGAAGAAGAAACAAAGGAAGGAGACATTGATGCAGAATCAAATGCAGTATCAACAGATGAGGAAACAGATGAAGGTGAAATTGAAGCAGATACAGATGAAAAATCAACAAATGAAAAAACAGATGTAGGAGAAATTGATGAAGAAACAGATGCAGTATCTACAGATAAGAAAACAGAAGAAGGAGATATTGATGAAGATACGAATGAAACATCAATAGATGAGAAAACAGATGAAGGTGAAATTGAAGCAGATACAGATGAAACATCAACAAATGAAGAAACAGATGTAGGAGATATTGATGAAGAAACAGATGCAGTATCTACAAATGAGGAAACAGACGAAGGAGATATTGATGAAGATACAGATAAAACATCAATAGATGAGGAAACAGATGAAGGTGAAATTGAAGAAGATACAGATGAAACTTCAACAAATGAAGAAACAGATGTAGGAGATATTGATGAAGAAACAGATGCAGTATCTACAGATGAGGAAACAGAAGAGGGAGATATTGATGAGGATACGGATAAAACATCAATAGATGATGAAACAGATGAAGGTGAAATTGAAGAAGATACAGATGAAACTTCAACAAATGAAGAAACAGATGTAGGAGATATTGATGAAGACACAGATGCAGTATCTACAAATGAGGAAACAGACGAAGGAGATATTGATGAAGATACAGATAAAACATCAATAGATGAGGAAACAGATGAAGGTGAAATTGATGAAGAAACAGATGCAGTATCTACAAATGAGGAAACAGACGAAGGAGATATTGATGAAGATACAGATGAAACATCAATAGATGAGGAAACAGATGAAGGTGAAATTGAAGAAGATACGGATGGAACATCAATAGATGAGGAAACAGATGAAGGTGAAATTGAAGCTGACACGGATGAAATATCAACAGATATAGAAACAGATGAAGGAGAAATTGAAGCTGATACAGATGAAGGAGCAATTAAACCTGATACGGATGAAATATCAACAGATGAAGCAACAAATGAAGAAAATATTGATGAAGATATAGTATCAATAGACGAGGAAACAGATAAAGGAGAAATTGAAGCAGTTACAGATAAAATATCAACAGATGAAGGAGATACAGATGAAAAAATATCAACAGATGAAGGAGATACAGATGAAAAAATATCAACAGATGAAGAATCAAATGAAGGAGATATTGATGCAGATACTGATGAAGAAAAAGACATAGACTGAACCAGTGACAAAACAGATGAAGGAGATAATGATGCTGACACAGACGATACATCAACAGGCGAAGAAAGAGTCTGAACTAATGAAGAAACCGATGAAGCAGACATTGATGCTGAAATTCCAACAGATGAAGACATGGACGATACATCTTCAGATGGAGACTGAACTAATGAAATAACAGACGAAGGAGACATTGATGGTGACAAAGCAAAATTACTATCAGATGAAGACACAGATAAAGACAACGACGATACATCTACAGATGAAGAAACAGATGTTGAATCAACCAGTAAAGAAGATACTGAAGGGGATATTGATGTTGACATAGTGGATACATCAATAGATGAAGGTAAAGATGAAGATTCAGTCAATGAAGAAACAGATGAAGGAGATATTGAAGCAGTCATGTGTGAAGAAACAGATAGGGTTTCAACTGATGAAGAAGCTGAAGGAAGGGATACTGATCCAGACATATATGAAGATACAGATACGGAATCAACAGATGAAGATGCAGCTAGTGAAGGAGACATTGGTTCAGAAATATCAACAAATGAAGACACGGATGAAGAAAAAATTGAAGTGGCCATAAATGCAGAAACAGATTGTGATTCAGTCATTGACGAAAATAACGAATGGGACATGGATGCAGACATAGGCGAAATCTCAACAGATGAATACACAGCTGAAGGAGACATTGACGACGCATCAGAAACTAACGAAAGGGAAATTGATGAATGATCAACAGATGCAGAAACAGATGAGGATTCAGCCAATGAGGAAACCGATGCAAAAGATGAAGACACCGATAGAGGTCCAACCGGTGAAGAAGTTATCGAAGGGGGAAAAGAAGCAGACACAGATGATGGTTCAACAGACGAAAACGTAGATGAAGGAGATGTTGAAGCAACTATTGATGACACGTCAGCGGATGAAGAAACAGATGAAGGAAATATTGATGCAGATACAGATGATGTGTCAACAGATGACAAAAAAGAAGAGGAATCAACAAATGAAGAAACTGACGAAGGAGATATCGATGGAGTCATAGATGAAATATCAAAGGATGAAAGAGCAGATGGAGACGCCATTAATGAGGAATCAGACGAAGAGGAAAATGAGGATGATTCGATTAATGCCGAGGCAGACAGCGATTCAACGAACGATGAATCTAATGAAGGTGAAATTGACATAGAAAGAGATTCCATAGATGAAGAAACTGATGTAGGTATAATTGATGAAACCAAAGATAGGGAATTGTCTGATAATAACTCAAATGTAGAGGAAACTGACGAAGGATAAATTGATACAGCCACAGATGACGCTGTAATCGACAATGTTGAAGCTACATCTACCGATGACGACGTGGAAGCTTCAAGAACCGGTAAGGACGTTAATGATGCATCTACAGATGATGATGTTGAAGCTACATCTGCCAGGGAAGAGGTGGAAACTTCAGCTACAGATGAGGTTGACGCTATAGCATCTGTTATCGATGTTGTAAATACAACTTCTGCCGATGACGTTGAAGCAACAACTGCAAATGATGATGTTAATGCAACATCTGCCACTGTTGAGGTTGAAGCTTCCATTACAGATGATGAATATGACGCTGAAACTTCCGGTGTCGAAGTGGCAGCTACATCTTCTGCCGATGACGTTGAAGCAACAACTGCAAATGAGGATGTCGATGCTCCTTCTGCCACTGATGAGGTTGAAAATTCCATTACAGATGAAAAAGATGACGCTACAACTTCCGGTATTGATGTTGAAGCTACAACTTCTGCTGATGACGTTGACGCAACAACTGCAAATGATGATGTTGATGCGATATCTGCCACTGATGAGGTTGAAGCTTCAATTACAGATGATGCAGATGACGCTACAGCTTCCGGTGGTGAACTTGAAGCTACAACTCCCGGCGATGATGTTGACGCAACAACTGCAAATGATGATATTGATGCTTCATCTATCACTGATGAGGTTGAAGCTTCAATTACTGATGATGAGGGTGTCACCACAATTTCCGGCGTCCAAGTCGAAGCTACAACTTCTGCCGATGACGTTGCCGGTAATAACGTTGAAGCTGTTACTGACGGTATCGACACGGAAGAGGAAGAAGCTGGTGAAGACACTGAAACAATGTCTGAAGAGGAAGCTGACACAGATGTTGAATGTGTCGTAGATGTAACTGATACACTGCTGACCGTAGTAACATGCGTTTCAATGGCCGTCACTGAGAGAGTTGTTCCACTGAACACAATAACGGTAAGTCCAGTTGGATTGGTAAATATCACACCGCCGGATCCAAAACCAACTTGTCCATTACTACTTATCGACTGAGTAAACTGCTGTTCGACCACGACAGGATCTGGATCGCTAGTGTAGTAGAGCTTGTATGTTGTAACCACGCTCCCTTTTCTGAAACATACAATTAAAGATATAGATTATTCATTTTGTATGTTACTTTAGTTTGCAGATAATACCGTATACCTTATATTTAGGAATGTCATGCAATATCAATAGACATTACATACAGATATGTATTACAGGGTGGCATGAAGAACATCAAAACAATAAGAAAAACAACCGTTCAATAGTACTTGTTGTTTGAATGATTGTTTACGTAAAGTAGGTTGGAAATGCACTTTTGAACAGTTAACAATGATTCTGTAAACATAAAACTAATCATTGCATCAACACTTGATAAGATAAGAAAAGACAATCAGTGTAGATTATTTAATAGAAAGAGTACACAAAACACATGATACCAAATAAGTAGAAAATAGAAACACAAAAGACTTACGTAAAACCGAGAACAACACATTTGTAATACGTGTCACGGAAAGGCGAGGTGGGGGCTTTTTGGATGACATCAATCTGTGAACAAACAATGGCATGTGATTGATATTTTTTTAATTTGCATAAAGAAACGTGTATTTAACAGGAATTTTAAATATTCAGTAGTCAGTTGAAATGTGAGCTTTTGGGGATATGGTTAGTTACTAAAATTCTATCAGTAGAAATGGAAGCACACACAGCTAGGTAGGACGTCATTCGGCATACCAACTTATCTAGAAATCGAGGATCTACTAAAGGAACGATGTAATGCTAAAAAACATAATAAAAAGGCCATGGCAGTAAGACACAGAATAACAATTCGAGCAGTACATCAGAAAAATAATTTACTCAATGCTTGATTTGATTCTTTATTTCTTTAACGAGGATTTCATACAACCCGGAGGCTACTAGATGCTTTCCTCGACATATAACAAAACATTACATATGTACAATGACAAAATATGACACAGATATGAAACAGATAGAACACCAAGTCACATATTTTCACTCGGACACCCACATAATAGCAGAAAAGAAAGGGAAAAGAAAAGAAAGAAGATAGATAGAAACGGAGACATTTAGAATCTGTTTGACTTTGTAATAAATTATAATACATCATCTAAAATAGTTTTGTTTGAAGCTTCGTTGATTGTATCAGAACCATGTAAAAGTATCTTAACAAGAACATCAGGCATCAACTCTACAATAAGGTCTGGATTGACATTTGGAGCAAATTCATAACATGCCGCTCGAAGCATTTTTTATCACAAATATTTTTACATTTTGGACAAATTAAGAAGAAATGTTTTTCATCTTCGGTAGAATTCACACAGAGATCACAGAATTTATTGGAGTTACGTTATAGGAGGATCTTTTTTCAGTGCGCTGAGACCCATTCTTATTGTACATTGATTAATTTTGCCTTTTCTGTGTCCACATCAATCAGAGCTCACGAGAATGACTTAATTGTTGAACTATTGTGGACTTGCTCAGGTAAGTTGTTCCAATCTCTTATTGCTATTGGGAAGAATAACTGATAAAAGAAGGATTTTCTTGAGAGTATATGAAGAATGTTGTTCGAGTTTCTGAAATTATGTTTTTGAGTGTGATGAGTCGGAATAAGACAGATAGATTTTAAGCACGGGGTACGAAGGTCATTCTTAATTTTGTATAACATTTTAAGTCTATTGTTTTTCCTTCTGTCACTAAGTGATCCCCAGCATAATTCACTTAGAAGTTTAGTATATTTCGTTACCTTATAACCACCCATGCATATTAAGGCTGCCCTTCGTTGTACACTTTCAATAAGTTCAGATTCATAATGACTGCAATTGTCCAGCAATATATTACCATATTCCAATATAGATATGACCATCGATTTGTAGAGAGTCTCAAGACCAAGTCGAGGGATTAAGGAAGATAGTGCCTGTAGTAGGTTAAGTAGCTTGTTTGACTTCTCTACAATCTCTGATATGTGTGTATTACACGATTTGCTTTCCTAGGCGCTTCATGGAACCTGAACTTATCACAATCATTTTTAGTTCGCTGAAATGTTTTTAAATATCTCTTTTCCTGAAAGCTATACGTACTTCATTATCAACTGTTTGTCACGAGGACAATTAGTCACTATCTAATTTAATATTAAACTTTTACATGTGTCTAAAATAAATTTGTTTACGTTTATAATCATATCATCAATTTGATCGAAGACGTCAAGGAATATGTCAATATGAGCGGTGTTAAAAGCGTAATTCAGACATAAGATATGGTTTTAGTACGGGCATTCTGATTGGGAGGACGATATATCGTGCTTAGTAAAATGCTACCTGACTGATGTGATATTTCTAAGATAATACTTTCTATGTTCGGAGATTCTTGGTCTTGGCGCCGTTTGCATATAATTGTTTCACGGATATATATATAGCTACGCCACCGCCATGTCTATTACGATCGTTACTATATAGTTGATAGTTTGGGAGTAGGAGGAGTGAGTATTCTATTTCTGGACATAGCCATGTCTTAGAAACGTTCGTTACGATATAGTTAATAGTTTGGGAGTAGGAGGAGTAAGTATTCTATTTCTGGACATAGCCATGTCTTAGAAACTTTCGTTACGATATGGTTGATAGTTTGGGAGTAGGGGGAGTGAGTATTCTATTTCTGGACATAGCCATGTCTTAGAAACTTTTGTTACGAGATGGTTGATAGTTTAGAAGTAGGGGGAGTGAGTATTCTATTTCTGGACATAGCCATGTCTCAGAAACTGCTATGATACCGTGCATCAAGTGATTACAAAGGACGCTTTCGATTTCATCTAACTTACAATAACGACTGTTATTTTCATTCGTGGTGGCCAGAATGTTTCGTGCATTAATATGACATAAAGATAAATAGTCAAACTTTCTTGAGTCAGGCTGAACGTCACCACAATTGAGAAGTAGAAGGAAAAGTAGGTGGCATGTAAAGAGTAAGATTGAGTGAAAACTCGTATGTATAGGTTTTGGACAGGAATTACATTTATCGTGTATTTTACCACCTGAGCTATGGTCTATGATGTAAGAGCTCCCAATGCCAATCGACCGCCTATATTGTTAGAGACTTAGTATACACTAAAAGTGAATCGGATTGAGATAAAGGAAAATATAAAAAAGGAGAACAGGGTTAAGTAGGGGGATTTTGCAGATGAAATATAAATGGGATTGAGACTGCGGAAAGGGAGAGGGGAAAGAGGAACACGTTCACCAGAATTAGTACAAAAATTAAAGTTCAAAATTGCTACGATAATAAGTGTCACATGTGGGAGAAAAAGGGGGGAATTGCTGGAGTGTTTCCAACATCAACAGACTAAACAATCACATGAAGAGGATTACAATTAACAGACTTACTATGAGGGTGGAAGTTGGGAGATGAAACATATTTCATCATATAGGCTGCATTTTAATGCAACAATTTCTTATCAGAAATATATGGTATTTTTAGGAATTTGTAGTATTTACAATATCTTCAAAGGATGAGTACATAAATCTGTCAATATATCTATTATACTTACAGATAAAAGGACTAAACATTGTCTTATATTTCGTTAAATCAATTATAAAAGATAATAGCATTTTGATTACTACCGTGTACGAAAATAGACAAAGATTCTGAGAGTGAAACTCTTAGGCAAGTTGAGAGTTTGTGTCACCACAGGACTGTACATTGTTCTCTATTTCGATAGATCAGTTGTAAAAATAGTAACATTTAGTTAAATACCGTGTTCAAAAATTGACAACAGTACAGTAAAACTCACAGGTAATTTGAGACTTCATGTCACCAAAGGCCTGTACATTGCTCTCTATTTGTTTGATAAAATTTAAAAGTCATAACATTTTGGTAATTACCTTGTACGAATATAGAAAAAAAAACTGACAGTAAAACTGACAGGTAAGTTGAAAGATAATGTCACAAAAATACTGACTTTTTTTAGTAAAACTCACAGGTAAGTCGAAAGTTCGTGTCACCTAAGGACTTTACATTTTTCTCGAGTCGTTAGATCAGATGTAAAAAATCAATGCTTGCTCTCGTCAGGAAAACTTTTGAACACAGATAAAAATACGTTTATTCCAATATAACAGGGGCTAGTGATGACGCCATTGTCGCCATTACTCAATTTTCTTTTGAGTGGGGGAATCAAGTATTTCAAGGGGAAGGGTTTCCTAAAACGACAATTTTAAACTTATATGATCTCAGGGCCCGTATTCATGACACTGTTTTTGTGCACAACCTTAATTTCTTGATCCAGTTGTAAATGCATTTAAAACATACTTTTTTCATGAATTTTACAAAGAAATGAAGGGACTTTAATCCAATTAATGTTTTCAATGTTTACATTTTCCTGTTTGATTATATTTGAAATGGCGTAAGTGCGTGACAAAAAGAGTTGGTTACAGCACAAAATCAATGCTTGAGCATGAGATCGGTTTCATGAATACAAGCCCTGATCCTTATCATAAGTAACATTTGGAAATATATTTATAAGAAATGATCACCCGGGAAGTAGCTAAATTGCAATACAAGGGACTTTATTATGTAGAAAAGTGTGAAACTCTTTGCAACGGTATGCAATGTCAGCAGGATCGTTAAATAGGCAAATATGTTTCTTCCAATTCCACTAGGTTATGTCATGATTAAATCATACTTACTGCTGCACAGAAGTCTTCGGCTGCCTTCTTGTACGCCGGTGAAGTAGGGTCGTTCAGGTCAGCCGTAAAATTTCTGTTCGCCATAGTGAGGCTCCCTTGCAATACAGCTATAAATAGAACAGAAAGCATCAGCTGTATGGTTGAATAATCAAATTAAAATATTGCGGTAAAACCCTGTATAAATTATAGCATATTTTCAAATTCTATCAAACCAATCATTGTTTATGTGTTTATGGTTGCTATTTACTTATAAGCCCTGATTGTTTTATCAGTTATACCCATTTTATTTATTTTTTCTTTATCTATTTTTATTTTATTTTTTATATAATAATGAAAATGCAAATTAGCAAATTCCCTTGGCGAGGTATAGGCATTTTACATTTTGATACTATTCAG